CATTTTGCCTAGGTAAAACCTAAGGTACAAGTACCTTGCAGATTCCTGTATTTAGTTCCTCTATCATTCTTTTATGTAAGAACAAGTCAAACATGAACGACATTTATGTGGATTTTTTACATTCTCCATAATCACAAGATGGCTGGACTGGCCTATAAAGAAAAAAGAAGATTGCTATTTAATTTTCTTTTTTTTGTTAGCAGCTGAATTTTAGGACATTTCTGGCATCTATAGACACCTTTCGAAGTTCACAGCATAACATAAGTTACAGCATCATGTGCAATTTTACTGCTATTGTCTTCGGTGCACATGAATATCTTGTACCAGAATTCCAGAACAGTGTGAAACAGAAGGAAACAAAAGAAATACAAAAATATCAGGAGAAATAAGAAATACTGATTAAAAAATGGAAAGAAAGAAATCCTTCCCTTTCTGTAAACCTATTGGAGCTTTCAGATACATTTTTTGAGCCTTCGTATATGAAAGTTCAAAATTCATTGTTCTTGCGATAGATTTGGATACATGGCTTGGTAGGGAGTGTGACAGCACATAAAACTGATATTTCACTTTTCTCTGTAACTTACATAGTGGAGAAAGGAATCTATGTAAACAATCACCTCTTAAGTACTGGAATTCATTTCCTCCTGATCAGCTCCATTTTAATAGCAAGAGAAAAGTAAAACAATAGCATGTGAAATCAGGATGAAAATGTTTTAGGTGTGTTTACTGTGTCTCAGTGTTAAAAATATGTAGCAAAGACTGTAAAAGATACGTGGATCTTTTCATAAAACCCTTTAAATCATGGAGAGGCAGATTCTATGTTCTTTATGTGAAAATCTGGATTAAGCTCCCATTTTCAAAAATGTTTAATGATTGAAACGTCCTAAAAAAGAATAAAGGAGAAAGTACCACAAAACCTGAACTTTCAGACTTTAATCCAGAAATCTCTGGACTTGAATCCTTTAATTAGGAATTCACAGCTATTTTCTTACCTTGCTGCTTGTTCTCCTTTGCAGTGATATCGATACATTAAATGCACTACAGCTGTAACAAAGCAGTCAACCACAGGGAAGAGATATTTGTCATTCATTTTACAATGAAGCCCAGTATATACCATTTATTTTCAGAGACACATTGCAGTAGCATTGGATTTCTTATTTTAATGTTTCATGGGAATTGTGGTGAACGACGCACTGTAGCTGAACGAATAATATAGAACCTTTTTGTTTGATGCTAAAGCTGTCATGATAGCAATCCATGGGCCGTTTCATTTCTAAAGAATGCACTGGAAAAAACTGACAGCTATGATAACAATGCACTTTGAAATAAACAGCTCAAATGTGAATTTTTTCTTGGCATACACTTTGATGACTTATATGACTTATATGGAGCTTAGGCTGCTTAAATGTAAAAGCAGGTCTTTGCTATTAGTTCTTTCTTATTAATTGGATATAAAGCCTACTGTGTAAAAGGCTTCATACATTTTTCCTTAGCTGTTATGCCTGGTGCTGTGATGGGGAAATTGATAGTGGGTTTAAGACTAGTTAAATTCATTACATCTCTTTTTTTTGTATCTGTAACTTGGGTTAAAATCAACATGGGTAGCTATTTCATTGCACTGTGAAAGGCATTTTAGCTGCAGATGAAAGGTGAAGGAAAAGGTTTAGATTAAATCAATATCATATTGATTATAGGGTTACAGTGTTGTTTCTTTACCTACTGTTTTGATTGCCTCACTTCTAAATTTGGTGATCTGCTCAAGATGGCCTAACAACACAATAGTTTTAGCCCACTGAACTACTCATCCAATACCAATTTCAATCTTTTAAATGTAATCTTGATTCCTACGTAACCTATTGACATCTTTAGTAATTTAAGCCTCAGTGACATTGTCAGTTTTTTGTAATGCTTGCTTATCATCAAGCAATTAAATTTGAGATTCACAAATGTTAACATTTAAAAAATGTTAGTTTGGCCAACTTCATGCATTAAAACCTTTATTCAATAGTATTTCTCTATTTTATTGATTAATGACAGTAATTAATTCATTCTATTTTTTGCAATTAGATATTAGAAGTCAAAACAAATATTTCATTGAAGCAAAATAGGAACATCTTGTAAATAAGACATTTCCCTGGAGTCATATCAAAAAGACCCATTCAGGAATTACTAAACTGAGACCAACAAATTGCAATTCTATATGTTTTACTAAAAAGAAATCAGTTAATGGAACTGAGTTGGGTGTTTCCCATGCTTTCTGGCAAGTAGAAGAAGAAAAAAATTAGTGAAGTCAGGACCATACCCTGGGAATACCATTGTAGTTTTCTAATGAATCCAGTTCGGGAAAATATTAATTGAATATTTTAGAGTTAAGATAATAGCACTACTAAGCAGGAATGCAATTTGCATTTCAGCAGAAAGTATGGCTGTGCTAATGTACATGAGGAAAATTCAGACACTGTATTTGCCCATTATTATTTTTTTTCTCATTCCCTTTGGACTTCATTTTCTGCAGTTTTAACCTTGGACTCATATTCATAAACTATCAAATTGGTAACTGTTGCTTAAAAATCTTGGCTTTCTGTAGCCTGATGAATAATCTGGATGAGCAATTTACTGCCCTGGGGGAATTTTCCTGTGAGAAGTTGGTGCGTCCTCCACTCAGTATGCACATATAATTGCAATAGCAATTTTGGTGGGCTCTGCTTGTACACATTTGAAAATAATGAGAGGGTCATAGTGAATTTTGTCTTCCAATTTGTCCCATTACATTTGCTTCTTTAGTTTCATATCACTCATGTGGATCTTGTAGTGCACTGTTGTGTCACAGGATATTCAAGTTAATCAAATGAATTAATTAACTCAACCATTTAACGTTATTGCAGAAAGGACATGCCTGCATTACTTTGTTTCAGCAAACGCACATGTGCATTGTGTGCATTGCTCCATTTACATGTACAGTTACAGCAGTATGTGGAGAGAGGTTATTTTGGTCTAGGTCTGTGTAACCACACAGCTTGGGAACTTCTAATAAATTGCTGCACAAACTCCATCAGGTATTACATTTATGATGTTACAGAGTCTATGTCCCCTTTCTAAATATTGCTAGCTGCCACATCCTCAGTCAGATTTTCATCGAGTTCCATATAGCGAGGCAAATACACTAGACCTAGGTCAAATGTATCCAGCTGTGGGAAAATTTGGCAACAGGCAGTCTTTGATCATATGCTAAATGCAAGTCAAGCCAACCACACTGGGATTTTGCTGTCTCCTGCCCTGTGATTTGACAGATCTGTCGGGAAAGATGCAGAAGGATTGCCTGAGTCCCTAAAGGCCTCTGTAGCTTCAATCCACCACTGCAAGAGTCATATGGCCCAGCACAGGCATGAGTAAAACCTACAGATTGTAAGGCCCTCCCACGAGGGAGAATAAAGAAAATAAACTGGAAGAAGGAATTACAAACAAATGTGGAAACTTCACTCTCTGGAAGAGTTTTACAATGTCAGGGAGGACTCCCCTTTGTTTATTCTGTCGTTAGTGGCTGGGAAGCCTTTTTCCTGGCTAGGCGCTTATTTGACTTGGAAGGCAAAAAGCCATTTTCTTCTGTAGTGAGCGTGTAAATTAGGCATATAGTCTTCAGCATGTAGCTGCCAAAGTCAAAGGAATGGGCATTTCCATATGCTTCTTAGTATTCTCTGTTTCTTCCTCCAATCCATGGGACTGCAGCCAGTGGGTTCCTATTGCTACTCAGCACTATCAAAGGACAAGGAAGTACAAAGCTGATAACAGTGGATGGACTATATTTCTAAAAGTTCATATTTTAGATAATTGAAATACAGAGCAATGTCATCAAAGTCAGTTTTGAACATGATAATATGAAAGAATGTTTTCTGGAACAGCAATTGTATCTTTTGTTCTTAGATAAAATTCCTGAACTAAATAGAAACTGCTCATAGGCTGTAGCTTTAGTGCCAACTTTTAACAGAGGATATTTCTTACATGCAGTTCATGAACTACTAAAACTGAAATATTCAAGTGGAAATGCTGTTGCTGCAGCAGCGTACTGTCAGTAATTATGATTAAAACAGAACAGATACTGGCACAAGCAAAGTAGCTCTATATATTTAAATCTCTCCAATACCCAGCACTGTGGCAACTAGAGTAATGTATGTACACATCTGTAGTTCATTCCTGCTGCAAAAATTAATTTCTTTACTCGTGCTGTTATTGCTTAAAGTATCTCCATCCTAAACTGGGATTCTACAGTTGTCAGCCAATACAGATCTTTAAGGGAATATGGGCAGAAAGGGTACTACAGAGAGAGAACAATATGATAACAGACTTGGTGTTTGGTTGCAGCCCATCATTAGCCTAAGTGTGGTGAGTATCCTATAAGTGTCACAGAAAGGGAGAGCTCTATGAAAGGATTTGAAAGGGCATAATGAAGTAACAGAGATGCTTCTTTCAAAGCCGAATGAGGAGGTGAGAGCCAACACCAGGAGCAGATGAGGGAGGATGGTTCTTGCTCATATATTTAATGACTGAAAGATACTGCATGAGAGAGAGGACTCAGTACCATAACAATACTCAGCATCTTCTAGAAAGTGAAATGGGGAATAAGTAACAGCTGGAGGCTTGTAGCTTGTTCTTGCCATGACAGAGAATTATCCAGTGAGAAGTTTTACAGTTTCTGTTCATAATGTATAACAATATTGGCTTCTGCTGAAAATGAAGTGAGGTCCGTGCAAACATAAGAGGCAGACAAGCCCCATCTCAGCGAGTTTTGGCTATGCATACTGCTAATGAGGATTTGGTAACTGAGTCATATGCAGTTGTTAGTTTAAAAATCTTGGCCAAGGAGAGGTACGTGGATGAGTGATAATTCTTCAGATGAATATCAGTTTTCCATTACAAGTTGGGGCTATAATTTTCCATTTATTTTAACTTGCATTAAATTCATTCTGAAGTCAATCTTCTTGCATCTGTTTTCTTTATTACAGTTAAAGAATTCAGGGAGACTACAGGCTGGAGAGATAATCAGAAGCAAAAAGTTTAATGAGTAGAGGAAGAGAATCTATACGGATATTAAATCTTCACCATCATTTTTCTCTCTTGAGACCAGATACAAAGGCTTGTGAAGTGAAAAAAGTCCTTCCACCATCTCATTTGGGCTTATGGTTTGTCTCTCATACCTCACCAGCTGTGCTAGCAGGTAAATCAAAGAAGAATATCACACTGGTATGAAATGATCTATAGGGCCATGGAATATGCTACCAACAATGGATTCTGTAGTATGTTTAATTCACAAAGTCATTTGAAATGAAAACTGTAGGTCTGCTGGGATGAAAAGGATTCCAATGTGCTAGTGTTGATCTGGCGTGGTATAGACAACACCTCTGAAAGCACAGGTCTGATATAAACAGCTTGCAGCTATCATTAGCAATCCTCTATGCTCTGCTTTCACTGCATGTTTTGCTACAAGCGTTATAACTTGACAGCATGCTAGAGAGTTTTAATGCAGGAATAAACAGAAACAGAATATTCTAAGATATTCAGCTCACACCATGGTTAGCAGCTTCTGTTTTTCTAAGACTCACCCCCTTATTTTTTCTCAAACAGCTTTGGAAAAATGTAACAATAACATATTTTCTAATTTCTACTTTCTTTTCAGGTCCATTAACATATTTTGCTAGTTCTTAGCCTGCCTCAAGAGAAAAAAATGCATGCTGAATCTTGCCCCTTCTGACTTTCCTCAGTCAAGGTGCTACTGTTCTGAGAGCCAGGCCCTCTGACTGAATAAGGATGCACCTTGCCTGAGACTGGAAGGGCAACAAGTGGCAGTGAAAGAAGGCGAGTTGCAGGACAGTCTGAAAACACCTCTTGACTAAGAAAAATGTGAACTTTAGGTCAGGCTTTGAAAAAAAAAAAAAGCACAATGCCTAGAATACAAGCTAAGCCATCCCTCAGTATCTATTCATATTTACTGCGGGTTGTCTTTGAGGACACTTCTGCCTGTAACATCTTGGGAATGACACTGGACCTTTGGAAATCCTTAGAGCAATAGCAAGGTCACAAGGACTGACAGGAAATGGGATTCTGTGCAAATGCTGCTGCAGAAGTTGACACTGAGAAAGTGCAAAGGGGACTCTGCTCAGGGCAAAGCCTTTCTGCCTCCCTTCTCTTTTTTTTTCACTGAGCTGTTGGCATGTGGAAATGATTCCAGCTGCAAGCTGAAAGCCTACAGAAAACATTAAAACTATTAGAAATATGTAGAGATTTTAGAGCCATGAAGGGTAGTAATGAGCATTTATGTACTTCAGTAACGCCCCCAGAAAAGATTCCCTATTACGTTAGCTGCAGCTGTGCTTCCCCTCACTTAATAGCCTGTGTCCTGACCAGCTCTGCAGAGGTGAGTGAGAATATATGAACAGACAACACAGGAGAGATCTATGTGGAATGTGAAGCAGAAGATGGAAGCATTAAAAATATGTCCTGGATGTTGTTTGGCCCTCATTTTCTCCTGCCAGCTGCAGAGACCCAAAGATAATCTTCTCCTAACACGCTCTGGACAGCAACAAGGCATTCTTGGCAAATCTGATGCTGTGTTCACCATGGATTTTGGCAATTACTCCAGTGTTGTTTTCCTAGGCAGCAGATAGTAATTACAACTCTGAGAGGTATAAAATGACTAGGTTCATTTCGGCTGAATATTCAGCTTTAAGTCTAAAATGAAACCCTATAAAATTCAACATTATTAGCTATTAGGCTGTTAACAATTTTAGCAGAAACATCCAGCTATTTTAGGATTGTGAATGGAATTTGAAAAGGGCATCACCAGGTTTTCTTCAACTCTTTCTTCATACACACAGCTCACTAAGAATAAACAGTCAGATCTGCCTTTTGATGCAATGCTGTTCTGGAATGCAGTTAAATCAATGATTCTTTAAAGCATGCTGTTTTGGTTTTTTTTTCCCTATTTTTTTATCCAGTGTATGCAGTGGTAGCTGAAAAACTAATCTTGTACTCACCTGGGCATCTTTGTGATAGTAGTAAATAGTTTATGGTCACCTTCAGTCAAAAGTGGCCTCACATAAGAGAATACTTTATTTCTTATTACCGGTGGATATGGCCAACATCTGTATTTTTTGTTGTTGTTTGTTTGATTTCTCTTTTTGAGCTCTCCAAAACTTAATTTCTGTTAATGCTTCTTTTCCTCATTTGACTGGGCTTCCAGAAGAAGAGTGCTTCATTACCATAGGCACTCAGTTTTATGCCAAATGCCAAATTTTCTCAGGTAACATGTTTTTGTTAGTTCTTATGAGTTCTCAAGCTTTTAAGACGTGTGTCTCCCTCCCAAAGACCTCCTTCCAGTTTAAATATTGTTACTAGGCACAATGTCCCTCAATAGTTTTAATTTCCCTAGAATCCCTTTCTGATCAGTTGTGTCAACTACACTGATGGTAGCTAAAAATCTTAGTTTATCTAACATGTCACCATCACTCTATTAATTTTCCACTGCAGTGTGCTGTTTCCATTATAGTAATCTAGAGGCCTGGGGAGAGAATGAATATTCAGCTTTAGCCAGGCAAAGTCAGGTGTTTTTCCAAAGCTTCTCAAACTCTGGACATTCACTTCTTTTCTCCTCACATCAAAATGTCACTTACGGATATTACTGTACTCTGTTTACCATCTACGGTTCACTCTATTTTCCAGTGTAGTGGGAGTGTCAATTGGAGGAAACCATTTGCTTCAAAGTAGTATGCTCTCAAAAATACTTGCTTGATTTTTCTTCAGTTAGTTTTTAGAGTTTTTCACCCCCTAATAGTGCCAACCGGCAACTTGCCAACATATTGGGTGGATAAAATATTTGCCATCTGACAGTTCTCCAGAAATACCTCTCCTTGTGCAAATTTTCTGCAAGGAAAGTGATCACTCTATGTATGTATTTAATCTCCATGATTCTTATCAGGTAAGAATTTTAAGCATTGCTGTTTTAGCACTGATGACTGAACAGCCAACTGTGCTCTTCTATAACAATAAGAATCTCAGAGCAACAATTCAGTACTGCTTTCTCTTTAGATGCAGATGTAGGGGGAGTGAAAACCAGGGAAGGCAGGACTTAGCCCTTGGGCGTTGGGCCTTCAATTCAGTCTCCTTCCTGTGGGTCATACTCTTCTACATCTCCACATTTTTTTCTTCTTTCTGCTTCACTGAAGAAAGCACCCTCTTGATTTGACCACAAGCTTGACACGGTTTTAACTCAGAAATGGGATCTTTTTTGTTGTTTGTACTACCTCAAAATGGTAGGGTTATTTTTTTTTGTTCTTTTCTTTTCCTCCTGACCTCTTATTTCATATACTCACATGGTGAAAATCAAGTCTCATACAGATGCCCTATGTTCCATAACGCACTTATTTCTTTTTCATCTGTAAGTTCTTCTGTTGATGACGCTGCATTCATTGCTAATGTCCTTGTTCTGGCACCATACTCCCTTGTACACCTATACCCAATTTAAATTTAATAACAGCCTCACAGCATGCACTGTGATAGTCCATCGGTCTATGCAGAATCCTCCTGAGCCAGTGATGCTTCTTTATCCTCGCTGTGTGTACTCTTAAAAAATGATGTGATTTATTGTAGTTATTGTATATTTTCCAAGTCCTCAGTGCCAGGGTCTTTAACAGAGGTCTGTTTCATTCAACGTCTTAGTCTAACCGGTCAGCACTGTGTCACAGGAACCTCTGAGCAGCACAATAACCAAGCCCAACTGGTCCACATAACAAAAGGGCTTCTGTGGCAACAAGCTGCTACAGAAGAGACACTGCCATGGAGACCATTCTTGATCCAGTAAGAAAGATCTATTGTATTTCACATCCCTTTGTTCTGAAAGCAGTAGGAATTATCTCACAACCATTCATCATGAGCCAATGAGATATCGCGAGTGTAATGTTTGGGGACTGCAAAAGTGTCAAAGCTCATAAAATTAGTCTTCTTGGGGAAGGGAAAGTAAAAAGGAAGTGAAATACATGCTATCTGCTGAACTAGAAGAGTATTGAGATGAGCTTGAGAATTAAAGGGAGACCAAATGGGCTTACCTGCACTCCCCAAGTAATTGCTTGCTTTGGAATGAGGTACACATCTGCACACGAGCAGTGAGGAGACGGAATGAAAGAAGAGAGTAAAGCTGACTTACTGTCTGCACATTGAATGTGGCAAGGGACTGCGCACTGAGCTTTTAATTTGGTTATAAGCATTTCTGTTCTTTTTTGACATCTATCAACTTTTTGTTTTGTTTTCCTGAGATGCATCTCTGTTCTCTCTCCCCTCTTTGCTCTTATGCAAAAGAGTACTTTGTAGGTAAGCTTGTCTTTCTATTGAGGTGTAATGCATTACATAGGGTAAGATCCTGAGACTGACATTTTCTTGCTATGATCCAAAACTACTTGTATGTATGCAAAACCTGCCTGGGAGCAGAATGCATTTGTCCAGCCTTGTAAGGCCAGACTGCATTCCGGGAGTGGCTGTGCAGCCGGTGCGTCCACACCCTGTGTGTGCTGCCCACACGGAAAGCTGAGGCTCCTATCTCAGATTTCTACATGAAATAATAATAATAATAATAATAATAAATATATATATATATATATACACAAGAGAATCTTATTTGGAAACATTTTGTAGCTCATTTTGTGAATTATCTACCTTCCACTAATTACAGTTCTGTGAGTGCATTCAAATCTGATGGTAAAAACTTGCTTTATTTTCTCCATAGATCCACAGGGAAAAACTTCAATAGAAAACAGCAAATTGTTGATGTTAATACTTAGTTGCTTTTCACTTTTCCTCCCTCTTTTATTTTAGGCATCAGACTTTCAAAGCTTAGTTCCATGTGAAGCTCTCTCAGTTGGTATATGATGTCAAACTTATTTTTGGGACATGTAAAAATACTGTAAGGGCTCACTAGTCTTCTAATGAGGTAAAATTACTTCTGAAGGATAAAATTAGCATGCTGGAACTTTCCCAACAATTATATTTGTACAGCCCTACCATGTATATTATACAGCATGCTTCTAAAAAATCATTACTATGAAATACAAATTCTTGATGTCTTTTTGCAATCTTTAGTTATTTTGAGGTACTTTTTAATGCAATAATAACTTTTTCTCTCCCTCCAGAATCTTTAAATTTGCACTAAGAATAATCCACAGTGTATAATTTTACTATTGCGAGAAATAAAATAATTGTAATGAAACAGAGTTCAAGAAGCTGGTTAAAAATGAAGAAGAAAAATAGAAAACATATATATAGATTATACTTCTTAAAATAGTTTATTTTTTCCCCAACAATTTTTACACTTTTCATTTATCTTGACAACTTCTAGTGAATGTCACCTGAGATGAGGCAGAAATGTGAAATCAGGAAATATCATATTAGCCAATTTTCCAAGATAAAAAGAAAAATTTAGAAGGTTAACTAACCTACAGCAGATTGAGAAAGCAGGATAGAGTGGGGGTGATACGACACGAGCAAACTGGTGCCATTACCCTGAGTTCACTTAATGAAACAAACCTCTCTTACCCTAATTTTCTGAAAAACAAGAAATAGAATATAGTACTAAGTAACTAATTTTTGTAGAGGTGACAGTTTAGCAGTAACAGCCTGTTGCAACCTGAGCTATTCTGCATGTTCATAAATGATCTGGAAAAGGGATCTGTGGATCACACAGTCTGGTGAGGCTTCCAAATTATACAGGTTAATAAAGACAAAGCAAAGGACTTCAGGAAAATTTGTGAAGGGGAATGACCGTGCCATAGAATGGTGGACGGAGTTCCATTTAGACAAATGTGAAGTGGTTCACATGGGAAAAAACGGTCCTTACTTCACAAATGAAAATGCAGGTCGTCTGGTCAGTGCTTCTTGGGAGAGTGATGGAGTTTTGAAAGCTCACAAGAGCATCAGCGTAGTGTTTGACATCTATCAAAAAAAACCCACAAAAACAAACAAAAAAACCCCACAGCCACAAAACTAGGAGATGCTGGGAAATCAGCACAGGATAGGACAGAGAACACCTTTGTGCTGCATCTTGAGGTAAAGAATCACAGAAATATTGGTTGAGAGGGACCTCTGCAGGTCACCCGGACCAGGCTGCCACTTGACAGAGGACTACTGCCAGCACTGGATCAAGGCTTTGGCTCTGTCTAGCTGAAGGCTGAAAACCACAAAGGGCAGTGATTCCACAACCTCTCTGCACACCTTGTGCCAATGCTGCATGATTCTGGGCTGCCCAGAGGTGTGGCTGATGCCCCATCCCTGGAGACTTTAAAGGCAAGACTGGATTAAGCCCTGGGATACCTGATCTAGCTGTGCATGTCCCTATTTGTTGCAAGGGAGTTGGACTAAATGACCTTTAAAGGTCCCTTCCAACTCTAAAGATTCTGTGATCCTACGACCCTTTTGGTGGTTTGGTTCTGATATCCAAGCTGAACATCCCAGGCTGCAGCTGTTAATACAGCACAGCTTCCCAATGCACGTGGCTGTTGCTCCTCGTTTTGTAGTTGCCACTACCAAGAAGTGTTTGTCCCCATCATCCTTCAGATGATGTTCTAGTCCATGTGCATCAGCAGTAGAATGGAAAAAAATGAGTTATTTTCACATAAAACAACAGCTAACTTAGCTAGAATCATTCAAGGTGAGAGAGTGGCTACAGAATCTCTATGATGGAGACCTGCACATTTAGATGTGACACGTGAAGGGTGTCTCTAAGTGAGTGTAAGCAATCTAGCAGTAGCGAGGTTGACAATACACAGAGACAGGTTTGGCATATGGTTTTGCTGAACTAGCCACAACAGCCAGTTGTGGACACTAAAAGTCTACATAGGTTTAAGGGAAGGTAAAGGTTATTAAGTGCATAGAAATGATATATTCCTCAGAAAATCGCTGAGACTGAAATATTGGTGGTAAAGTTCTCTAGAGGAATACCGTATGATCTTGCCCTGCACTAATACTCTTTCATATGCTTTTGGTTTAAAAATCTTCGGGCTGAACCATGTGTTCTTCATGTTCAAGAAATTGCTAGCAAAACGTAACTGCCTCGTAACATGGATTTCTATCTCTCCTTGTCTAGTAAAATGGAATTTGTTCAGCTTATTTTCTCAGGTGCATAAATAATTACCATTATGCTTTGGTTTGAAGTTGTACAGGCAAACAGCAACACAAGCAAAACTGCAAGAAAATGAACATCATGAAGAACGGCCAATAGTTTATTTCCACCCTATTCATATAATAGATACACCAAATTTCAAAACTAAAGTCTTTGAAAGGAAAGATATTCTTATCCTTGAGACATTAAATAGCACTCTGGAGATCTCAATTTGATCTCTAGCAATGCCACAAATTTCCTGCTGGTTTTGGCAAACCAAGCAGGCCATCATCTTGCAGGAGCTGTTTTCAGCAGACGAGCTTATTGAAATTACTCAAGTCAAGCACTTGCAAAACTCCTTAATAAATGAGTTTCTTCATGTGGCACATCTACATAGCGCCGGAATGCTTCAGGAGTACTTGTAGGGCAGAGGGCTGTGGACACCAGCTGGGTCTCCTGATCTCTTCAGAAGTCCCACACTGTTCCCACACTGGGACAGGACCTATGGAGCAGAAAACCCCAGCCCAAGGTCTCAAAGAGAGTGGTGGGAGAAGGGTCACCAAAGCTCCAGCGCTCCAATTCCACACAAGGCTACAACTAGCAAGGTTCTGGGAGCTCTCTGCTCCAGGGCATGGGAAGGCAGAAAGAGAGGTTAGAAAGAGAGGGACCTGGGTCTGTTCAGCCTCGTGAAAAGAAGACTGAGGGGGAATCTGATCAATTTTACAAATGTGTGAAGGCGGGTAGGAGGCAAATGGATGAAGCCAGGTTCTCTTGGTGGTGCATAGCGATAGGATGAGGAGTAACTGCCTAAAATTTGTACATAGAAAGTCCCATATGAAGAACTTCGCTACAGTAGAACTTAGCTACAGTAAGGGTGATGGAGCACTGGAACAGCTTGCTCAGAAAGGTTGTAGAGTCTCCTTCTACAGAGATACTCAAGACATGTCTGGATGCCTACATGTATGAACTGTTGTAGGGTATTTGATTAGCAGGGAGGTTGGACTCGATCATCTCCTGAGGTCCCTTCCAACCCCTGCGATTCTGTGATTCTGAGAAGCAAGAAAAGGAGAAGAACGTTTCTCCCCGGCCTCCGACACCCTGAGGAGAGTGGTCCGAGCGGAGCGAGGCGCCCCAGGGGAGGACACCCTCCCGGCTCGGGGCCCCGCCGCCCCCCCTTCCCGTCCCCGCCTTCCCCTACTCTCCCAGCAGCCGCTCCCGCCCCAGCTCTGCTCGGGTCACCCCGGCTCCCCGCGGCTATGCACTCCCCGCCCCGCAGGCAGAGTCCCGTCCCTTCATCCCATCCCATATCCCATCCCATCCGAGGGGCTCTGCCTCGGCTCCCCTCGGCCCTCCCCCTCCCTCCTCCCTTGCTCTTTTTTTTTTTTTTCTTTCCCTTTTTTCCATCCCCTCCCCCACCTGGGAAGACCCGGCGGCTCCCCCCCGCCCCGTGCTCAGTAGCGGCGGGTGCTCGGCGGCGGCGGAGCGGGGATACCGGCGCGGCGTGGATGTGGCCGCTGCCCCCCTGCCGGGGCTCGGCGCTGCCAGGTACGCGCAGGGACGGACTGGGGGGGCTCCGCAGCCAGGGCAGGACAGTGCGCAGGTGGCCTCGGGCCCGCTGTGAAACGAGGCGGAGGGGTCGATGCCTCGGGTTCTGCATAACAACTGCTGTCCTGGTGGGTTTCTTTTTCATAGGACCAAGAAGTGAGGCGAATCTCTGATCCCCTTTTTAAGCGCAGGCGGCTCCGCGGGCGACGGAGGGGGGCACGTTCATTTCTTTACGCTTTCAAGGGTTTTGTCTCCGCGCAGCTCCAGAGCCTCTCTACGTTTCAAAACAACCTTCCTTGAGTTCTGATTCACCCCCGCTGTGTTTGTGCTACCATTCCTGCCCTCCTTTTGGAACTGACACTAATTTTATCCAGATTCGTCACTGCTAGAAACGGCTTTATCTCGGAATCGCGGAAAGCTGTGCCAAGTATCTAGCTTGAGGACTGGGAGAGAGGGAGCTCCTTCGGGTTGGGCGCAGAAAGCAGGGAGCCCCGTGGTCACACCCGAAAGCGGGACAGAGGGTGGCCGAGGGGCTTTAGAGCCGTCTTCCCACTCCTCCAGGAAAGCACCACACTTCTGCGCGATTAGTGCATCGGAACGGTGAGCAGGAGAGCGGGCAATGAAACGAACGCGGTCGCCGTCCCTCCCCGGCTTCCCTCCCTTTGCTGATGTTCCCCGCACCCCGGCAGCCACAGCGGAGCTACGGATCCCCTCCCGACCCCTTCCCCAAGTCTCGGCGGGGAGGAGAGCGGGGCTGCCTGCTGCGAGCCCGGCTGGGAGAACTTCCAAGCGAGGCTTGAGCCGGCAGGGCTGAAGCTGCGAAAGAAGCTCGTCCTCCTCCGCTTGCCCTCGAGCGAAGCTGTGCCGAGCCCAGCCCCTCTGATCCGATTCGGGCCGTGCCGAGTTGTGCCCGTTGGCTCCGAGCTGTGCCGCTATCCGGGCGCGCCACCCAGCGGTCCTCCTGCCCCTCCCGGGACACAGAAAATCCGGGCCCGAGATGAAGCCCGTTCCTTCATTGCCTTTTTTTTTTTTTTTTTTTTTTTTTCCTTTCTTTCTTTCTTTCTTTCTTTTTTTTTTTTTTTTTTTTTTTTTTTTCCTCTTTTTTTCCCGTTTTTTTCCCTTTTCCCCCCCTTTTTTTGAGTTTGATTTCATAAGTCCACATGAGCTTTCCAATATCCTTGCTGACTTTGTTCTTTTTATTGACACTGAAGCAGCTTAAATCTTGTACAAAAAAGACAAACAGGAGTCACTGTGGAGTTACTGAGTGAGTTGTTTGTTTTTCCATAAGTCAGAGCAGAGGGATGAAATCAGTGCGGTGCTCCACAGAGCAAGAACCTCCACAGGAGTGGAGAGGGCAGCGGTGGGCAGGGTTAGGGTGATGCTTCCTTCCAGGGATTTCTAAAATCTGCTTTCTCTTTTGCTGTGTCAAAGGGGAACTGTCAATTCCAAGACCATTTTGAGAGTAAGGCCAAAAGCACTTAAGGAGCTGGTTAGTGCTGCAGCTTCTTTTTATGGTCTGAAGTCTGCATGTAAATTTAGGCATGTGCTGACTTTCCTACCATACGGCTCAGGCTGCTCTAAACAGACCATAATATAGCACTGGGAGGCAGCTGGGCACATCTTTTCTGGTGCTTGAACTACAGAAAAAGGCAAATTCTGTCTATGGTAGCCTAAAGAGAAGCATTTTGGAATACAATCTGCTGAAGTAAGATAAGTCGTGCTGACAAAATAGTTAAAGGATATCCTAAAAAGGTAGGGTATGAGTATGCTTTGTGATTGCAAAAAGGTTTGATGCTGGAGAAGAACTGAAAATGCTTTTACA